GAAACAGATACCTGGTAGGAATAGCTCAAAGCTTAATTGTGGGTAATACACCTATTTTGGCGATATTATGCCTAAGTTGATTTGCACAGTTTGCTTTATCATAGGCTAGGCATATGGCTGTTTATAGTTACGTATAAAAATAATTTGCTCTGCAAAGCATTATAGCCTTTTTTTGCCTCCTTCAAAGTCCATTTATTTGAATAAAAAATGAAGTTCAACAAGCCATGTGTGTCATCTTTTTTTAATTGGGAAACTAAGAGAAATGTAGCCTGGAATTACTTGTAATGGAGAACACTTACTTTCAGTGATTGCACGTGCCTCACTGTTGGGTGTGTGATGTATTCCTGCTCACAGCTGAGTCACAGAGATCATATGGGTAACGCAGCTGCCAAGCAGTGGTCATCCTGATGTGATGAAGGCTTCTGCTAATAGCTCCGAGGGTCTCATCTTCACTTCCTAGTGATGATGACGTGTTAAATCTACCTGGTTGTTTACAGTTTTTTATACAGAGACACACACACACACACACACACACGCATATCCATGTAATATGAAAGGAGAAAAGCATTGCTAGTGTTTGACTTAAAAAACAAAATTTGAGATGTTGGAGAATCATTGGGATGGGCATGTAAATTTCAAGGAGCTGAGTGTTAGTGTATACTGTACACCCAAATCCTGTTCTCAGAAGGGAAGTTGATTGAACCCTAGTTCTGGCTTACGTAAGGAGGGTGAGTATGTGAAAGGAAAAGTGTCTATTTAGCTATTTCTTGCTATTCCTCCTACTTATACTCCCTGGTTTTATTTTGCAATTCTGTTATTTCTAGCACATGTGTGCTTTCTAAGGCCAAAGCCCTGTAGGAATTTCCCGGAAAGGGGGTGGATGTTGAAGAGCTACAAAGGCAATAGCTGTATTCACCCTCGCTCTAAATTGACTGTAAATGACAAAACTACTGGGATTTGGCCCATCTTCCTCCCCCTCCTTGGCTTTACTTATACTGGGGCTAAACAGCATTACACTGGGCGGCAGGATGTGGGAAGGTGGAGTATCTCCAGCTGCTGCTGCTATGCTGAAGATGCTCTCTCACTGAGCCCTGGTCTACCTCGATTTAGCATCGTGCTCCCATACCTCACTGTGAGTGAAGCAATGGTGCTCCTTGAGTTTTCTTTGTGCTGTCAGACTGTGGTTGTAGCACGTGTTTATAAAATGGCACTGGCTAGCTAAATGAGACAAATTATGGGTTATCTTGGAAGGAATCATGTGAGCTTGACTTGAAGTCCCAGAAAATTCCTCAGTTCTTTTGCTCCTTTCAGTCCCTTGTGATAAAAATGCCCCTGAGGAACCGAAGGTTTTGCACTTAAGGTATCTGCCCACAGCACTGCTCATTTACTTCCAGTCTGTGCCCTGCTGAGCTGTAAACATCCAGAGCAATAGGGCAGTAGCTGAAGCTGCTTTGAACAAGGCAAGAGAGATGTGCTCTTTCAGTTGAATCTGCGTAATTATGGGGGGAAATGCTGAAATTTTCTTATGTATAAACAAGGCTCCAATTCCAATGTCTTTAACAAAACTTGTAAGTTTCTAAATAACTTCTGAAAATTAGATATTGGTTTCTAAATCTCAGATGAATAATATTTTCAAAAGTGATCATGTCTAACTTCTGAGGAGACTTTACCAAAAGGGGTTTGACAGTAAAAAATGGTCAGCATGAGTCACATCACTTTGTAGCAGCTTTGAGACTAGTACTCA